TAACCTCAGAATGATGTATCACTCATGCATACAGTTTCATCTCTCCCAGAATTTCTGATGGGTAAGGTTTTTCTTTGCATCCACGAACAGTGACCTGACATCTCTAATGTAGGAATGAATTAAACCTATTTACTCTCGTGGTCATGACTGTTTCTACAGGCATTAGATCACCTATCAAGTTGAGTTCACAGTCATATTCAGCCTCTGTCCAATACATATGATTTTACACACACATACACACACCTTGTCCACATTTATTCTGCAGAAAAATTTTATGAGCCTGTGACTCTAGCTCAGTGGTCCCCAACCTTTTTGGCACCAGGGACCGTTTTTGTGGAAGACAACTTTTCCACAGACCTGGGGGAGTGGGGGGGATGGTTTGGGGATGATTCAAGCACATTACACTTATTGTGCACTTTATTTCTATTATTATTACATTGTAATATATAATAAAATAATTATACAACTCACCATAATGCAGAATCAGTGGAAGCCCTGAGCTTATTTTCACTTGCCACTCACTGGTAGGGTTTTTTTTTTTTTTTTTTTTTGCGGTACACGGGCCTCTCACTGCTGTGGCCTCTCCCGCTGCGGAGCACAGGCTCTGGACGCGCAGGCTCAGCGGCCATGGCTCACGGGCCCAGCCGCTCCGCGGCATGTGGGATCTTCCCGGACCGGTGCATGAACCCGTGTCCCCTGCATCGGCAGGCGGACTCTCAACCACTGCGCCACCAGGGAAGCCCACTGATAGGGTTTTGATATGAGTCTGCAAGCAATTGATTTATTATGGTCTCTGTGCAGTCAAACCTCTCTGCTGATGATAATCTGTATTTGCAGCCACTCCCCAGTGCTAGCATCACTGCTTCAGCTCCACCTCAGGTCATCAGACATTAGATTCTCATAAGGAGCGCGCAACCTATGTCCCTCGCATGTGCAATTCATAGTAGGGTTCACGCTCCTATGAGAATCTAATGCGGTGGCTGATCTGACAGGAGACAGAGCTCAGGCAGTGATGGGGAGTGGCTGTAAATACAGAAAAAGTTTCGCTCACTTGCCTACCGCTCGCCTCCTGCTGTGCGGCCTGGTTCCTAACAGGCCCCCAACCAGTACCAGTCCTTGGCCTGGGGGTTGGGGACCCCTGTTCTAGCTGAATGAGGAACATAAAACAAAGTTGGTAACTAAAGAAAAAATGTGGTCTGTACAAGTTTAACCCAAGCAGAATTTTGACAGGGGCTATGAAGATATTTAAGGCCTAGAAAGAGGCAGTGGAGTGCAGTGGGAGAAACACTAAACAGGCTTCAGTCCTGGCCCTGTAACGTGCAAACTAACCTTTGGTAAGTCATCCCTCATTTATAAACCTCAGCTTTCTCACTGGTAAAATTACAGTACGAATACGTTACTCAGAGAGACCCTTCCTTGCAAGTCAAATGACTACATGTTTGTGAGAAGAACTGGCATGATACCAAGTCCACTGGATAAGGGTAGGCCCACTGGATTCTCCGAATTTCAATCTAAATTGTGTTTTTAACTTAAATTATTTGGGGAATAATTATCATTCTTTATTTCACTTTTTTTTTCTTGTTCAGCTAGAATGTGAGTCTCCTGAGGAATGAAGTTGGAATGCCTCCATGAGAAGAGTGTGGGGACAGAGTGTTTGCAAATGTTTTATTTGATTTGGAATTTTAGAGCTCAATCAGGAATTAAGGTAAGCACAGGGACAGAGCTATTAAGGCAGTTGGAAAGGGACAGACAGTCCTGGAATGTGGCAGCTCCTGTTTGATTTTAAATGTAAGTTAAATATTAATTTTTCTAAAAAAAACATCCCTCTTCCTTCCAGGGAGGCCCTTTTCTCTCTCTCTCTCTTATGTTGACAGATTGTTGGTGGCTTGCCCTTCACACTAACTTATTTGGAGGAAAAAAGTCTTCAGGTGATCTTATTTGAATAAGAAAAAAAGTTCCAAACAGCTCCCTTGCCGCCACATCAACAGCAGCTGAACAGCCTGGGTTGCTGCATAGTGAGAATTATTCCTTTCATTTCAAGGGAATCAAAGATGTTTGGAGTAACCAAGAGCCCTGGTTACACATGATCAAAATAAACGAGCGTTAGATTTGCTTATGGAAAGTGTCAGTTGAGTCTACTGCTAAAGTCTGAGTACACTTTTTATTGTTCCCTAAAGATTTTGCAGGAAAGAGAGAAGTCACCTATGGAAAAAAAAAAAAAAAAACTAAGTTGATTTGGGGAAAAACAAGAAGCATTTGAAGATCTTCCCTTTTCTGAATTCATTCCTGCTGGAGGTTCCCTAAAGCAAGGGGTGCAATGATGATGCTGTTGATTGTACACAGAAGTCAAAAGGAAATTCAAGCTTCTGTCAAGATTCATTCCAAAGACAATAAAAAAAGGAAATGATGGAATCCCGTTTAGAGCTTTTGGATGGATTCACTGGTGCTTTGGCTGTTCTCTGAATTTGTAAGGAATGGAGAACAAAAGCGAAATTGCAGGCTCCCAGCAGCAATTTCAATATCTTATGCTTCCAATGGCTCCTTTTCTCAAATCATCATTTGTTTCTTTCTTAATTTCATGCATTTTTGTTTTCTTTCTCTTTTAAAAAAATTTTGCAAAGCTACTATCATCCAGTGCTCCATGACATTCAGCACACATGTTTTATATTTTGGTGTATAAAATTAAGCACACTACTCCTGCCACTGCCTATCTATGTGACCTGTGGGCCTAAGTTTCCTCATTTGTAAAATAAGGGAATTGAGTAAGACTTGCAGTGCTCAAACTATGTTCTATCCCAGGGTTACTCAATTTGTACACTGTTGATAATTTAAGCTGGATAATTCTTTGTAGTGGGAGGCTGTCCTGTTCATCAAGGGATGGTTAGCAACACCCCTGGCCTCTACCCATTAGATGCCTGCAGTACGACTATACTCTCTCTCCTGGTTGTGAAAACCAACAATTGCCAAATGACTCCTGGGCTGAAAAAGTCACTAATTAAAGCAATAGTTCTCAAACTTTGGTGGGTGTCAAAATCCCTGGGGAACTTGGTAAAAACATAAAGGCCCAGACTGGATTCAATTACAAAGCCAGGGCCTCTGGGGCTTTTATGTTTGTTTGTTTTTTAATTAGCTTTTAAATATACAACGAAGTTTGAGTACCACTGTTCATGAGGAATTGTGTTGATGAAACGGTTCTCAAAATATGATTCTTGCACCAAAAGCCTCAGCATCACCGAGGAATTTGTTAGAAATGCACATTTTTGGGCTCCACCCCAGGCTTGGTGAATCATAATCTCTGAGATGGGACCCAGTTGTCTAAGAAATGGCCCAGGTAAAGAAGAAGTGCATTCTTAGTAAACCCAGAAAGACATTCAGAAATGCGAGAGAGGACTTTCTCAACACAGCATTGATACCATTAGGTAGAGCATTGCCTGGAATCAATTGCTCCACCCTGTGTGGCTTCTATCACCATGTGGTCATGGATTTTGTTCTGGCTCAGCCTTAAAAGGCAGATCAGATTTTCCTTCTTGGGGAGGGGAGCTCTGAGGGATGGCACACCTCAGACTCCTGAATCCTCTGTGCACCTGGGCCCTGACTCATAGACTTACTCTTTGGGCTATGGCATTGACTCTAGACCAGTGGTTCTCAATCTTGGCTTCCTATTAGAATCACTTAGGGAACATTTAAAAATCTCAATGCTCAGGCCAAACCCCAGACCAATTAAATCAGAATCTCTCAGAGTGAGAACAAGATATCAGTATTTTTGCCTTCTCAAATGATTCCAAACTTCGAGCACATTTGAGATGCCAATTGAACACTTTCTATAAAGTCAGATAGGGTTTGTACAGAGGGAGAAAAGATAATGGGACATGCAGAAGGTTTGAAAGCAAATGCCAGTTTGGTAATCAGCATAAAGTTTGGTACGGCTACAACCTGTAAGCTTTTGATTCTGTGCCAGTGCCAATTCGTCCCCTAAGTTTTCTTAGATCCTTCAACCAGAAGCCATCTTTGCAGGCTCCGCATTTCTATAGCACTTTGAATCTAATCTAACATCTGCCATTTCTATTATATGGTAGATGTTAGACTAGCCCTTGTATTATAGCCCTTTCCCCCACAATACCTACTTTGGGAGTAGGTATCCAAAGATATAAATTTAATTGACATATATTAAATGATGTGGAAATGTCATGGAATGTAGAGGTAATCCACAGCAAAGCATCCTGGCACTTTGCCCTCAGTCTCACAGCAGGACTTCCTAGCCAATATGCTTCAAAATCTTCCACAAGTGGATTAATAACTCCAGACTCCAAAGTCTTTATCTGACAAGAGAGACAAATCCTTAGAGCAAAAGTCTGGGCGGATGACGTAAGCACACATTCTGGAATACTGAACATCCAAAGTATTGAGGACATAGCTCCAAGGTGAAGCTTTTCCATCAGTGGAATAAGCCAAATAAGTGAGGTTTGGTGGAGCAAAGTAATAAGAGCATGATTCTTTGGGGTCCCTTGGAGTTCCAGAGCCAAGGCTGTTTATGGCCAGAGTGGTCAAACCCAACAAAATGAGTGAAGGAATGAGCACGAAACTCTGGCATCCTCCTGGGCCTAGTGGTGATTCCACAGAAAAACCTTCCTGGGGAATTCATATCAGCTGCACGATAAGTGTTCTTTCCTGTTGCCTTTCCCTCTTGCTCACCATCGCAGTGGCCAGGGAGACCTGGGTGAGATTGCTACAAGCACTAGGAGACCACAGGAATGTTTCCAGGAGGCAGGCTGGAGTCAAGGATCCAGTGCATAAGCTCTCAGGAATCCTTGTGAGAGTGTGAAGCCAAGGAACAGGAAAGAAGGGAACACCTTGGCTCAGAAGGTATTTAAGCGGGAGGAGAAACAGAGGAACAGGAAAGCCTCCAGCTAGTCCTTTGGAGCCTGGCACCCACTTCTGTCAGCTTTCCCATTCCTAGACTGACGCTCATTGCTTAAGTCCTGGGAGTACTGGATTTATTAAATTGCCTCTTTGTTCAACTCTTGCAAAAAAAAAAAACTTAGACCTGAAAACCGTTTGACGTGTTGGGATATTTGTCTGCCATAGTAGATGAGGAACCTAAGGCTCAGTTGTGCAAGTTTACAGCGTTGGTAAACTGACCGAGGCAGAATGTAAGTACAGCCATTCCAACAATTCTCTGGGTCCTGTAACGATCTCCCCTGCACAGAAAGGTGGGCTATTCACTGTTCCCGTGTCCCTACTCCCTGCCCCAATGCACAGACACACACCCATACAAAGTGGGATGAGAAACAAGGGTGGGACCTTCTCTAAGAGAAGGAGCAGTAAGCAAGCTTTGATTCGAAAGGCCCAGGGTTGAGTCCTTCCTTCGCTTTTTCACAGTTCTATAAACGTGGACTAATCACTTTTCTCCTCAGGCCTCCCAACGGAGCCAACGGGCCCTCTAGGGCTTTCCTCACAGCCGGAGAGGGAGCTTCCATGTGAAGGTGAAGGACGCTGCAAACTGCGAGGTCACGGACAAATTTCAGAAAATGATGAAAGCCCTATCCTCGCTAAGCCGGCTTTTCTTCCTCTCTAAAAAAGGGAGTAATCATGTCCATTCTGCAACCTCGAATGGACCCCACGCGTCAGGCTCTGGCCCCCCCGGGCTGGCCGCCAGCGGGGCTGGCTCTCTGGCTGGCACTGGGGTGTGAGGGCCCTGGCCTCCTGGCGGCTGCAGCCGGGAGCCTGCAGGGCGCGCGCTGAGCGCCGGCGGCGAGCGGCGAGCAGAGGTTCGGGCAGCAGGAGGAGCGTGTGAGCTGTGGGCGTCCCTTTAAGAGCGGCCGTCCGAGCCGGCCTCCGCCTCTCAGTCCGCCGAGCGCCGCCGGTCACCTGAGGCTCTCGGGTCAACCGGCAGGAGGCGGGGCCGGCGATCTCGCCCGCGGAGCCGAGAGACGGGGCCTGGACGCCAAGTGCCCAGAGCCGACTGCGAGCGTGGCCGGCCGGCGCCCGTCCGCGGCGGAGGATGCGGGAGCGTATCTGGGCGCAGCTGCCTATGCTGCTGCCCTGGCTACTGCTGCCGCCGCCGCTGTGGGGCGGCCCCCCGGACGGCCGGTGCTCGGAGCGCGAGCCCGAGCCCGGGCCTCTGCAGCCCTTCGACCTGCTCTACGCCAGCGGCGTGGCCGCCTACTACAGCGGGGACTACGAGGTGGCCGTGCGCGACCTAGAAGCGGCGCTGCGCAGCCACCGGCGCCTGCGGGAGATCCGCGCCCGCTGCGCCCGCCACTGCGCCGCGCGCTGCCCGCTCGTGCCCCCCGGCGTTGGCCCAGGGGCCGAGCTGCCCTTCTTCCGCGCCCTGCTTGAGCGGGCGCGCTGCTACCGCAGTTGCCAGAGCCAGCGCCTCGGGGGCCCCGCGTCCCGCCACCGCGCCAGCGAGGATGTGCGCAGCGACTTCCAGCGCCGAGTGCCCTACAACTACCTGCAGCGGGCCTACATCAAGGTACCCAGAGCGCACACCTCACGCCCCCCTCGCTGCCCTGGGATGCGCTCCAGCCCTCCCCGCGGCTCCAGTCTCTTGGCCGGCGCGCTGCTCCTTAGCGAGTCTGACTGGGTCTCCTTTAACGGTTCTGTCTCATGTGTGGATCTACATAGCTGGTGGCCCGAGCTCTGTAACCAACACTCGATGAATTTGGGCAAGCCATTAGCTCTTCCGGCATCCACTTCTCTCTCAAAAAGAGAACTGTACTGATAAGACGTTTAAAGTACCCATTCAGCACTAATGTCTGAACGTTGGTAGAGCCGGGTCTAGTATAAGGTCTCCTCTCGCTTCATTCCCTGGTCTAGCTTCACCCAGTTTCTCTTCCATCTCCGCTCCCTCATCCCTCCTACAAGCTAGTCTGCACCTTTTCTTTGAAGTTTAAAAGAGAGCGGTCTCAAAACAGCAGAGTTAAAAGTAGACTTGCTCCGAAACCCATCCCTCTGTCTTTTCCCCTGCACTTAGCACAAAAAGGGAAGATCAAAGGTTAAAGAGGAGGTATGCATGGAAGAGGTGAATCTGTGTGAGGCAGTCTCACTAAAAGTACCCGAAGTGCTGACTCTTTCTCCTTTGATAGAAGGCTTCCAGTTTCTGGAGGTGAGCATCGGACTGAGTTATTCACCACCAGATGCTCCCTCTTTCTGGTTTTATTTTTGTGTATTCAACTTGCCTGAAGTTAGTGCCAGGAGGCAGACAGTGTATATTGACATCTTCCCTACATTCACAGTTTTAAAGATCTAAGTGAATGCTTCACTTAGATGATGGCAGAGAGAATTTAGCCCGTGTTCCTTAATCTCCCACTCTCACTCATCCATGTTGCTCTGAACTTACACTTTCTCCCCCTTCTGCCTTTCTATGTCAGTATATCAATGTCTGTTCTCCAGCTGTTGGAGAAGTGGCAGCTTTGGGGGTTGGTTGGTTGGTCATGCCAGCCAATGGACCAGGCTGCATTTCTGGAGTGGTGAAAATACACACCAGGTGCTGATATTCTAATGTCTTTTGCAGCTCATCCCACAAGGTCTCTGAGCTCACAGTTGGTAGGGCTCTCTGCAGATTTGCAGTTTTGGGTAGAGTTCAGGAAATCACAACTGTAACTAACTCTTTAACTCCCAGTGCTCTGGCTAAGTTGCTAGATTTAGTATCTTGGGCAAGAAATAAGGAGAAAGCCTGAATCCTTTCCAGGATTTGTCTTCTATTTGCTTGTGCCTCCTGAAGCATTTGCTGAGGCATGTATTAAGTATAAATCTGCTTTCTTTTAAATGAGTGGCACAGTTTTTGGTGGTCTTTAGAGAAATCAGTCAGTAGCAGGCAGAGAGGGGCTTGTGAGTACCCGACAGCTGAAGATATATATACTAAGCTAGTTCCCAGAGCAGAATGTGGGTGGTCGGGTTTGGTCCCCCTGTAATACTGTCTTCCCAGGAGTCTCAGATGTGAGGTTGGTAGTCCTGTTGCTTGTTCTGTCACACATCTCGGGCACATTTTCCTTTCTCAGGTCTGGAAAAGGAATGCATATTTATTTTCACTCCTATAAAAATAAATAACCACGAGGTAACTCTCAAAATGTGAGTGTCTTTGGTTCTGTCATTACACTTGCTTCACTGCTAATGTTAACATTGATCATTCTCCTGCTCCCATCTCCTGGTTGGAGGTCAAAGAAGATGAAGCCATAGGTTTAACATGCCTCAGTTTTTTTCAGTGAATCGATTATAGGAGAGAGTCACTCACAGGTAGCTCTGTGGGTGAACTACTGTCTGTAGTCTGATGAACCAATGAAGTTTAAGAAGTCCTTTCAAACTTATGTGAGTTCATGTGCCAATTTCTGTTTTACTGGCAATGTTTCTGAGAGCAGAACAAATCTTGCATCTGCTTCCTGTTCACCTCCGCTCCGATAGGTACAATTTCTACATAATTGATCATCTCTTAAGGAGGAAATCTTCTTACCCCTTTGGAAATTCATTTTTGATGGGTTGGAGTTTACAGGAGCATCTTTATGAACATCGAATAAGGTGTTCCCTCCCCGCAAGAACGCCACAATTTTAGCCTTTGCTTGGCTTCTTGGGAATTTCACTCATAAATACACACACACACACACACACACACACACACACACACACACAATCTTCTGAGAGCAAAACAAAACTCGCAAAATAACAGTATCTTTGGGCTCTGACAGGTTTGAATCCTAAAGTGTCCATTCCCTGAAGATAGAGTGGTTCCCTGCATATACCTGCATATGATCATGGTACCTTGTGTTGCTTACTTTGGACATCAGTGATCCAGTCTGTATTTGAAAAGAATAATCCTGGGCCAGATTGAATTCAGTGAGGACTTTGTAGCCAAGATTTGAGAATTGTGAATCCTGTAATATGGTCAGAACTAGCAGACTTCCTAGAGATAAGGAAACACATTTATTCTCAGCTAGGGGTTTGCAAACTGTAGAAGCTCTTGGGAGATGCTGGTCCTCCCCCAAATCCCAGTTAGTGAGCTACTGATGGAAGCGGATTCTTTATGCTAGAGTGTTGGAAGGGAAAGATTGAGAATTGTGAAATCTAAGGCCTGTTGAGATCAATTTCTCATTTCACAGATGAGGAAAGGGAAATCCAGACAAGGGAAGGGGCTCACCCAGTGTCACATATGATTTGATTTGATGAATTGAGCACAGGACTGGGAGTCCGGGGTCTGGGCTCTGCCAATAATTGGTCGTGCCTGTGCACATCCACTGTCCCGTGGAGTCACCTCAGGTCCCAGGGAATGCTGTGTCCCCAGGGCTGTCCTTTTGCCAGATTTGGACAGCTCCAGGAATGAGTCAGTCCTTGTCCTGTGGGGTAACAGACACTCACTGCATTTATCTTAAGGGCTATTCTGTAGAATCTTCCTTAAGCCCTGGCATGCTGGGAAATCCTCTGGACAGCTACGAGGTGGTAGTTCCACTTAGATCCTATCCACACTTTTTTGTTTAAAGGCAGGGTGAGACACTTCAAACTTTCAAATTTTATTATTTCAGATTGTAAGATATAACTCATGATTCACAGCCTAAAACCTAAGATAAAGCTTTTATCAGAGCAGTCTCTCCTCGGAAAGCTTCGCTGGTTTCCCCTTGCTTCTGTATAGAGCCCACAGTGTTGAATACAGCACCCCTCAGCCTGGCTGCCCCTTAACTTTACAGGCCCAGTCTCCTCCCACTCTGCCATCCTTCAGCTAGAGGGAACAATGGATGCTTAATCTTATGTGTCTGACACTGCTGCACATCTGGGTTTATTTATTCTTCTTTGGGAGACATGTAGGCTCTGGCATGGGGTCGATCTGGGATTGAACTTTAGCTCTTCAATCTCTAGCTCTGTGACTGCGAGCAAATCACATAAACTTTCTAAGCTTTAGTTTCCCCATCTGCAAAATGGGGAGATAACGGGACCTACCTGATTGGTTTAGGTTTAAGAGAGGATTTATATAAAGCACCGGGGACAGGGCCCATTTCTGTTTCCAGAAACACTGGAGATGTATCTCTTATTATTATTAGTTATAACAGTAGATTTTCCCACCTTCTCCTCTATGTGTTCAAATGGTAAGTGTACTAGCACAAATATACCTATTTCTGTGAGATCCTCTTTCACTCTCTCTGCAACTCCCAACAATCCATCATTTCTCGCTCCTCTGAATGTCCACAGTAAAGAATATGTTCCTCTCATATCACTTTTAACCTTGTTCTGGAGAAATTCATATATTTGTTCATCACTTAATGTGAGCTCCTTGAGATCAAGAATGGTCACAGGCATTTTTGCACCTCCTAAAGTAGGAGTTTCCAGATCTGGAAGATCAGCAGGTGGATGATTAGTATGAATCCCCTGGGCATTAAAAATGTGATTTAAAATTGGAGATTTAGGTTCAGTAGGTCTGAGTTGGGGCTCAGCATTTATATTCCCCTCAAATACCTAAAACAGGGGGCAGTAGCAGTAAATGCTCAGTGTATGTTTGTTGAATGAATGATAGTTTGGTTGCTCGTGTATGAAATATTGTTGAAAAAGATTTCTGTGTGGCGGCAGGAGGTTTTCTCAAATTAGTTATTTGGTTTCCTGACTGGTCAGTTGGGGGAGAAAGTTATAGAAGGACTGTAGATTGCTTGACTTTTCACTCTCTTCTACTTGCAAGTTCCGGCTAATGTTGCAAACCTCCTTTCCCTCCCCCTCCATTTTTTTTTCTAATTTAATCCTTATTTCCTAAAACTATGCTTCGGAAAATTCTTGACACGCTGTGCCTGTTTTATGTACATTTGTGGAATTTAAACAAATGTAAGTGAGATTCTTTTCTTTTTTTTTATCTGTGTACTTTATAATCAGGAATACTTTGACAGTATCTGTTTTTCTTTCAGTGTTCCCAGCCATTTAGTTAAAGAAAAAAAATTTAAAAAAAAAAAGAACCAGTGCTGCTTATTTATGTTTTTTACTTAAAACAAGCTTGCGCCTCCATGTTTTGTTTCTAAGTTGGTGCTTTGTGCTCTGTGACCTTTGTTTTTCTTCTTAAGATTGGTGGGGGGCGGGGGAGGAAATGCAATTAAGTTAGGCGATTCTATCTCCTTCCTAGAGTCAGCTCCCCAAACTTCCTTTTTCTTGACCATAATTTATTTTATTAGTGGTTTCTAGAAAAGAGAAAAAGTAAGTTCAAGGATTTTCCTTGCTCTTATTCTGCTTTATCAACTTCTTTCTCTTTCTAGATGAAGGCCTTTAAAAATGTTTGAAATGTAGGCCACATGACATGATACATATTCTATTAGTTCAGAATAAAAACTTTTCCCAAATCCCGTATTTAAATCTTTTTACCTATATGTAGACTATGTACACTTTGTCCCCAAATTATTTCAAATAGGAAGTGGATTTTATGTCTTCATGAAATAGTTGTTTTGAAGTTTCCTAGTGGTTATTTCTTCAAGGGATGAGACTTTTTTTTTCTTCTTACATTTGGAATTTTTC